TCGGGTGGCGGCTCGGGGTGTGGTTCGGGTGGTGGGATAGGTGCTGGTGAAGGTGGAGGTGGCGGCGGAGGCAGTGGAGGCGGAGGTGGTGGAGGCCACGGCGGTGGATACGGAAGCGGGTCAGGCTATGGAAGCGGGTCGGGCTATGGAAGTGGAAGTGGCGGTGGCAGGGGCAGGAAATGGCAAAAGCTTGCCGTGAACATTAAGGTTACCTTTTCTTTTATATAACACCATTCACAGTGGTATTCCAAAATAAAATTGCAGGAGCTCTCCCACATGCATGAACATGGCATGTTGGCGAGTGATTGCACCTGTGCATGCGTGTATCGCTATCAATAAAGTCACCTTTGCAAATGCTATAAATAAAAGAAATTTAATTACCCTGTATATTTTATAGATAATTTCTCTGCAAACCGCAATCAAAATTGAATGTTTCGTTTCCATAAGAACGGGATTTCAGCACAAAAAAGGACTTCAAATAATATTAAAAGAAATGAGCTTGAACTTTCGAGAATTGAAAATTTCCTCCCCGGCCGGGCCCAAGAATGGCAGTGTTCAATTCGCATGCATTGAAAAAGCAACGTGCACCCAAGGCAACGGCCCAGCGGTGGAATGGCGTCTTGCGCCTTCTGCTGTCACGGGTTCGAGCCTTGGAATTGTATGCCTGTCAGCCCCGCGCTGCCTTACCTGCCTGCTGGGTTTCCAGGGTGTTCAGTGAACCATGGGAATTAGTCGTGGTGCGCGTAAGGTGCGCATAAGCTGACCCGGACACCCCACTTAAATAAAAAAAAAAGCAACGTCCCAAGTGAAAATAGTGAACCTCAATACATGACTGCCAAGAAGAATTCCCAAGTACATTTCTGACCTCGTTGATGATCCATCACCGAAGGCGGCCAAAAGGCCATTGGAAGCTGCAAAGCCAGTTTTACAACCAATGAACCACCAGTAGGTACGCTACGCTCAACAAATATTCTGAAATGCTACTTAGACAAGTCCTGTTGGAGTTTCATAAAATGATCATTCTCAGAATAAGAAAGGTCTGACAAATAATACAGAATCAGAAAAGCCTGCCAAGTGACATAGAATCAATCACATCCTGTGTCAGCACTCGATTCTTACGTTCTTCAGACAAGCTATATATAATTTCCTCCACCGCTGAGTTTATTGCTAAAAATTTTAGATTTCAGCGGTCAAGCCCATTTATAAGAAAGAGATTACAAAATTTGAAATGTCTAGATACCGGTGAAATTTGGAGTTTAACTAGACACGATTGAGAAGGAAATATTTCGGCAAATTCCATTTCAACCATGGCAAAGTATCCTTTGAAAGGATAGCTCTAAAACATGTATTGATTTGAAAGTCAGTAAACTTATCAAGAAGATAAACATGGCTACATCTAATATTATGACAAGCCAACATAGACTAATCCAACAACTGTTTCCAGAAACAGAAGTTGTACCGTGTGAAGAGTTTCCTGTAGAAACCTATCTATTACGAAGAATTTTCTTCTTTCTCCTTCTATCACAGTTTTTGGATGCCAAATTTCAGAAACACCAGCTAGATTAGGCAATTGCAAGGTCCACGGAGGAATTTGCAGCAAAAATAGTTAAGAATGGTCAAAGGCTGAGCCGTCTCCCTCTCAGAAGCATATATAGGATACCTTCCGCATTATCATGTCCTCAGCTGTATGGATGGCTCTCTGTGATCCTGTGATTGTGATTTTCCTGCCAAAGAGTACAGAAAAGAACTGAATTAAAACCCTCGTCACTTCAAAACACATTTTAGCGCTAAACTGATTGAGATTGACTCAAAATGCTTTCCCATGGCCCTCATTTGTTCCAGACATGAAACCACCTCTGTCTGATATTTTTATCCTGGCTCCACTATTCTGCCAAAACAGAGCGCTCTTCATTAAAAAAAAATAATGATAACGATAATACAGAATAATATGGATCATTTGTTGTATAAAAACCTGGATAATTTCCATTATATTTCGTCCTCCACGACCATGAACCAATCCAATAGTTTCATCAGCAACACCGATCGTCACAGAGTTAGCACGATCCTCCTGGAAAACATCAGAAGCCCTTCTTTCAATCACAAGCAACATGCTGTTTAATTATACTTGATAGCATACAAATGTTTTCAGAACAGCACCAAAACATTAGATATTGTTGATAGAATTCGCAATGAGATGAGGTGAATCAGCTGGAACCATCCATGCTGGATATTAGAATACCCATTTTAGGATTGGTATCAAACTACCAAATGTAACCCTAAGCAACCTAAGAGATACATATATAAGGGCCTCAAGCTCTGGTATGTGTTTGCCACATAGACAGACAATGCATTCGATTAAAGGGGAACTCTTTAATGTATTAACTAAAAAGGCCAAAAATTAATATGACATGATGCTCGCATAGTACCTATAGGAGCTGGTTGCCTATATGGAGAATAATCTTGATTAAATAAACAAGAAGGTTAATAAATACGCACATATTGTAATATGACGAAAAAAGTTAAGGTCAAATCGCACAAAGAAAATTAATTAGGCCATTAAACACCTATATAATTATAACCGATCAATACAAGACCGTCAGGATACCTGTTGCCCAAATTTCCAGTGTCTGCGAATGAGTCTCTGCAGAAAAAAAGCTTTGGCTTTTTATTGTCTCCATATCCTGCAGTTCATAGGTTTAATCTTCTTTTTAATTAATTAATAACTAGCAGAGCGGAGAATTAATGTTGAGATATGAAAAAGAACCTCGAATAAATTGTGCAAATAGAAAGCAGGGAAAGTAGCAGCAGAAGAGCAACACTTCTCCTTCAAACTTGAGAATTTTGTTAACGGGGTGAAGTTTTTGGAAAAAGACATGTTCGGTTTTTACAGCAATGGTTTTATTCATGGTTATATAGTTCATTGCCAGAAATTCTAACAGTTTTTGATGCGTGGTTTTTAATTTGCTAGTTTTGGCGAGTTACATGATGGAGGAACCCCTTCCATCCGAACTTGTGCTGCTTTCAGGCGTACGATTTTACAGGGACAGCTCCTCCAAGATAAGGTTGCTAACTCCGAGTAAATACGTGGTGTTCTACTCGATGCAACGAGTTCATGTATTTTCAAACCATTTTTAAACTGCCAACACAATTTTGTGATTTTGTCTATTTTCCTCTTCTTATATCGTTAGTTTGGCTCAACATTCTTTTAGAAAAACCAAAGAAACGAAGGTTGTGTTAGCATAGGACGCAGTGAAGGTATCTGAAGATGAAGTAAAAATGCTTTTGAAACCTGCGACCATCATCTTTTATTGTCAAATTGCGAGTCAGCTTCCTGTTGTTCATCTCATAGTTTCCCACAATAGAGGAAAATACACTGCAAGATCAAAGACCCTACAATGATAAGATTACTGGAGGGATGGAAGATGGCGACTTCTGATTCTCAATAAGAACGTCAGATGTAGAAGAAAACGGAAGCAAGTTGGATGAGATTTTGCTGAATTTTGAGCTCTTCTGGGGAGCCTTTAACATCATCAACCTGCAAGCAAAAGGCATGCAGTCAACGTAAACTGCATATTTACAAGGAACTATTTGTCACCGGAAAGAAAAACAAGGCAAAATATTGGTCTCAGAAATGCATCCCAAGAATCGGTTCTCTTCCACTAAAATATATGATATTGTAAATAAAATTAAATAAAAACTAATTGTTTATTATATGATATCCAATGAAATTTATGGTGTGCTGGGAGAGAATAATTCAATTGTACAAAACAAATAAAATCAATGTCATGAATGGGGAGGGAAAAAACCAAACAATTACCCATTTCACAGAGAAAAACAACAGCAAGACTTCACAGACTACAAGCTGTACCCGTTTCTAACTTAAACCTCCGAAATAAACTCTAAAAATGGCCAAGGGGTAGCAAAGCCTGCAAGCACACATTGACCAGATACACACAAAGGGCACCATAAGATAATAGCATTCCTACTAGCTTGAGATGGCTTCGGCTGCCAACATTTTGGCACAATTTTGAGGCAATGGCTTCAAGCGGTTCTGCGGTATGCCACTTTAGCCAGCTATCCAACGCCAGACACCACCAGAACCTTGTCTTTGAGCTGCGCTATGCTCTATCTCCTGATCCAGTGCAGACTTCTGTCTTCTAAGTAGTTGTACTTCATTTTCTATGGACTGCAATGATTCCATCATCTTCTGTAACTCAGCAATTTGTGCCTGGAAATCTCAGTAAACCCAAGTCAACCAAATTTATGAAACAGGAAATCAAGGTCACACAGAAAACCAGTCAGATAACCAAAAGAGAGATATAAATGGTGGCCAAACAGGGGAAAACAGGATAGAGAGTAATGGGATGTGAGAAAGAGGAGCACCTCAAGTTTAAAGCATCTTGATCTCTCAGCAACTAGTTGACCTTGGACAGAATGGAGTTCCTGGAAAAACAATGAGAGAGAAAAAAAAATGATATTAAAACTATATATTACCATTTAATGAAAGAATGAGTTCTCTCATAAGAGAATATATTTCTCAAGTACATACCTTGGAGAGTTCTGCATGAGTACCATTAACTTCATCAATCTTTTCTGTAACCCTATAATTTTCTGCTCTGACTTCTGCGAGGGACAATTCCAGCACCTTTTTCTCTTCTTTCAGTGCATCAATTTCAAATGCTAAATCTTGTTCAGTAGAATTCTTTCCAATTCCATTAGAGTTCAGATTTAATTTGGAGAAATCCAACTTTTCGGATTTGGACAAGGCATATGCAGCAGTAACAGAAGCTGCAGCTGCAGCTGCTGCTGGTGACTGAAAAATCTTTGGACGCAATGCATCTCTTGGTTTAAGTCTCATAACAAAAACCTAGAAAATAGAGGCCATTCAAGGAAACAGTGTTGAATTAAGAAAGATGGTGCATATAAGCACTAAATCAGCGCAAATGTTACTAGAGCACGTACCTCATTGTTGTATTTCCCATTATAGCCACCAAAGGCAACCAAATGCCTCTCTCCATTAATTAATACTGAGCAAACACTAAGTCCCTGCTTTTGAGATTATAATTAGACAATTTCGCAAGCATGGACGTAACTTCTCCATCAATTCAGCCAAAACTAAAACTAGGATAAACCATTAAAGTTGACTAAGCTATCTTAGACACATAATAAGCATATGAGTTCTGCAACCATTTTATCATATTCCACCAAAGCTTTTGCATTTCCCCAATTAAGAATTTTCAATACAAGTTAAATCTTCCATCAAAATCAGTACAAGCATGGAATCCATAAACAGAAAATACTGTAGTCTAAAACCTACACTCAGGTGGTGAATTAATGGCTGAAACAGGGAGTTCTTCAAATTCACGCTAGCTTACAGCCATGCAATATTAAAGGAGATCCA